TATATATATATATATATATATATATATATATATATATATATATATATATATATATATATATATATCATTGTCCAAATAACATGTACAATTATTATATGGCTTACTCATCATCACATAAGTGAAAGATATCTTTCAGTGGAAGTGTGTGATATCCCATTTTTTGTTTTCTTGTGCTACAAATTGATCAGAAATCTGGTGGACATATATATATGAGTAATGTTACATACAATGAAAATGCATTATTTCATTATAAATTAACTTGGCAAAAGATATTTCCAGTTCCACTAATAAGTCATCTGGACTTGCAAGAAATAGAAAAAAAGTAAAGAAGACAAAAAAATTTTAACTGTCATGCATAACCAAGTATTGCATGCGCCTACCTCAGCTCATCATTTCTCAATTTATGTTATTCAATCACTATATAATTAGTTACTTCGATAATCGGCCATAAAAACAGTGTCTCAAAACAATTGCTGCAAAATTTATTTGGATTTGGATATATGCATGTTTACTTTTTCTACACATTTTAAGTACCAATTTTGACTTTTTTGTGGTCGAATGTTAAAAGTTGTTGACTGCAAAACGTCAAAACAGAATAAATATTCTTGGACCGAGGTAGTAATAAAGTTTCATATTTCCAATCATTGTACTTTTTCTGTTTATTGGTTTTTTGTTAATAAAAACTTGTTAGTTTATAAGCTATTTATTGGGGACGTTTTTTGTAAAGTGACTTAAAGGAGATATCATTTGGTAATATTAAAAAAAACGAAGATAGGGATAGCTTTGTTAAAGATATGATCAAAATGGAGAAATGAATAAACTAGTAAGACTTTTGACGAAAATAAGGAAAGTGTAATTTTGGTTAACTTTCAGTTTTGCCCCTGATGTGATGGGTAAAAGTAAGATGTGATAATTTGGTTATTAGTAAAAAAGTATGATGTGATAGGTAGGGTATGAAAAGGTAAGGGTAAAAGTGGTTTTTTTAATAGAAAATGGAAGTGTTTTAAAGAACTCAAAAAAAAACGAAAGGGGGAGGGTTTTGTGGAACGGATAGAGTATATAAATATGAGAAATTTACCTAAATAGGACTAAAACATAATGACTTTCCCAATATAAGACCATATGTTTTTATTTCCCAATGTAGGACCTTTGGTCATTATGAAGTAGTCATTATTCAAGTAAATGTCCATCACTATTGGACATTATTTCTCCCATTAGGTCATTATTAAGTCCTATTAAGGGAATAAAAAAGTTTAAGTCCTACATTAGGAAAATCATTATGTTTTAGTCCTATTTAGTACAAATTTCACTATTGAAAAACATGTCATCAACTAATTACGGAGTAACAAGTTTTGATTAATTTATAAATACAAATAAAAATGTACAATTTGTCAAAGTTCAAGCAAAAGAGAAGATAACTATTCCACACTGGCATTACAATTCAACTAGTTTGATAAATGTTACATTGAGCATCCAAAAAACAAAAATGATAATGACCATTTTAATGGTTACTGTTCAACTTGTTAAAAACAATCTAATATTAATTTTCAATGGCTAAATATCCATTTATATACACACCATTGGTGAACAAAATATGCATATATTTATGATACTTTGTACAAATTAACGTAGAATTGAAGCTCAAAATTAAAACAATAATAAATCTATCAATCACACCTCTAAATACGTGGAACAATATTAATGACAATTCAAAATGTACAGATTCAAGCTAGAGTTCTTGAATAGAACCATCATCTGGAGCCAATAAACATAATACCCTCATATATAATCACTTCAATTTTTTCTTTTTCTTTCTTTTTAAACCAAAAATAAAAAGAAAAAGAAACAATTAAAGAAATTAAACTAGCTAGCTAGCGACACAAAAAAAAACAAAAAAAAAAACAAAAACAAAAACAAAAACAAAAAATCATCTCAGTTACTAAGCAACTTATCTGTTGTGTAAAGGGTTGGGGCCCGTACGGACTCTCCTCTTCTCCGCGTCGAATATTTCGTCCCCATCCTCACGGCCGCCGGAACGGCCGGGTTTCACTCCGAGAATCCCGGAGCTGGATTTGCGGAAAGCGTTTGTATCAAAATGGCGGGCATCAGTAGCGGGCTGCCCGCCGCTTAACCGGCGGGAACCCACAGAGCGTGTAACCTTCGGGTGTAGAAGCACCAGAAGAAGAAGAAGAGAGAAGAAGAAGATGGCGAAGCTCATCTTATGTTTCTTGGTACAACACAACCGCCTCATAGTTTCATGGGATTTTTAAGGTAAGCTTTTCTCTTTTTTTTTTTTTTTTTTTTTTTTTTGAACTCCCAAAACAAAGTTAAAGAGGGGTTGTCAATTATTTCTAGGTAGGTGCTGGTGGAGGGGAGCTAGGTAGTCAATATGCATAGGTTTTGGTGCTGTCTCTCTCTCTGATTTTTCTGTTTGGATTTTTTTCTTTTTTGTGAGGGGGAAATATAAATGGGTGTTATTTGTTGGGGATGGAACTTTAATAAATATGGTGGCATATTCGTGAATTCAGAGCCAATATAATTGGGAAGAAAGAGAGAAGAGGGAGGGAAGGGAAGGGTCGTCTGGCAATGATTCTTGCCCATACACACATATCCATACCACACACAAAAAGGGGGGAAAGGGGGGACAACTTTAGGTGAAAAACAATGTGGGTCTGGTTTCTCCCCCATAGAAGGAAAGGATGATGGTCCATTAGATCAATGTGGGATTTTAGTAAAATTTGCACTAAATAGCACTAAAACATAAAGACTCTTCCAATGTAAGACTTAAACTTTTTTATTCCCTAAATAGGACTTAATAATTACCTACTGGGAGGAATAATATCCAGTAATGATGGACATTTACTTGAATAATGACTACTTGATAATGACCAAAAGTCCTACATTGGGAAATAAAAACATATGGTCCTATATTGGGAAAGTCATTATGTTTTAGTCCTATTTAGGTAAATTTCTCTTTTATTTATAAAAAAAGGAATAACTTTATTTCAATTAGTCTCTTCAATCTAGAGCTGAGCGTGGTACGATATTTGATTTAATTTATACTTCATATTTAACAAACAAATTTTAAAGAAAGAAAAATAATTGAAAAATGAATAATTGAATCCGAAAACTGCTTATAAAACTAAGTTTAATTTATACTTCATATTTCACAAACAAAAAAGAACGAATGATACCAAAATAACATTTCAAATGTTTGTTATTTTTTATATTCATTTACAAAAAATTAAAATTCAAATAAATGATTGTAGAAATAAAAGATTATTTGCAATTCATCTTCACTTGAACTAACTTTTCAAAATCAATTTATTTTTTAACAAAGAAATATAAAAACATTATTACTTTTATAACATATTTGTATAAATGTTCGGTTCAAGGTTTTTCAGTATGGGAAGTTAGTACGTACCAATCTCAAATACCGAACTGACCATTCGGTTCGGTACAATATGGTTCTTTTTCGGTATTTTATCAGTTCAGTATTTTTCGATTCGTTAATCTCAGTTTTTTCGGGAAATTTCAGGATCGATTCGGTACTTGCTCACCGCTACTTCAAGCTGATCCTAACGCTATGTTTGGTTAATGGAATTCGGAATAAAAGAAAAGAAAATAGGGTTCCTTCATTTTTCTCACCAAAATGGAAGGAATTTAATTTTTTTTCTTCTTAGTATATTTTGTCTTCTCATTTTCTTTTCCTTCCGCTTTTCTTTTCTTTTTCGTCTCTAACCAAACAAGAAAAATGTTTTCTTCTCATTTTCTTTTTCTTTCCCTCTCAAATTCTTTGAACCAAACATAGTGTAAGAGTTACATGTGGAGATTTAGAGAGAAATATCTTTAGATAAGAGTAAAATGTTATCGACATACTTGAAGTACATACTAAAATATGAATGTCATTGTTTTTATATCCTGAATATGGATTGACAATATGATAACAATATGTGTATACGTGTAATTAAATAGTGGCAATGTTAGGGTGAATTAAAGTAAGTCCTGTGACAATGTGGAGGTGAACCACGATTGAATTGTACTTAGTGCTGACGACCTGAGGCGGAGCTCCTCCACTCCTCCCGTGGCAATGTGACAGTGTAAAAGTATGTAGAAGTGGAAACTTGGATTTACGTCACAATAAAATGCTACTCTTATTTTCATATTTTCATTGTCAAATCTTTTGCTTCTAAATATAGTGAGTTTTCCAATTAAGCGTTAATCTATAACAAATTAATAAGAGGTGAATATATATGTCCTTAGTACGTGCAAAGAATGTATACAAAACATAAATATCTCATTTTCTCGTTGTTGAACCTGACCATAAAGCTCTTTTAGAGTCTATTTGGACCATGAGAAATTGAAAGGAAAGCAAAGAGAGAGAGAAAACACAATTTTTCTAAGATGGAACACAATGAAAGGTCTAAAGAAAAAGAGTAATAAGTTTGTGGAACACAAAACAGTTTCTTCCCTTTGCAAGTGAGAAAAGTTGTTGTGGGGGAGAAACTGAATGAAATTAATTATTTCCCTTTTAAATTCTTAACATGCTTCGCCACAACCATCTTTCTAGCCGACCAAATGGAAGGTCAAAGATGTCTTCTTTCTTTTCTTACATTTTCCTTCCTCCCACTTTTCTCACCATCTTCTAGTCATCAAACATCACTAATTTTCTTCCTATTATTTCTTCATTTTCTTTCTCATCATTTTTTATCGAGAAAAGTGCACCGTTTACCCCTAAATTCTTTAAAAATTGAATGGTTTAATTTATCCCTGAACATTAAATAGTTCACCGTTTACCCTCGAACTCTTCAAAAATTGCATAATTTACCCCTGAACATTAAAAAGTGTACTAAATATCCCTAAACAATTGAAAACGTCGCATCGTTGGTCCTTAAATGCTAGGTAGGGAGTGCGTTGCTCCCGAGAACTACAAGTACGATTTATTTGGCCTTTATGAGTTCTCCAAAGTACCCTTTCCTAAAATTGTCGTCTTTATTTAAATGTTCAGGGATAAATTAAACCATACAATTTTCAAAAAGTTCAAAGGTATTTTGTGCATTTTTTTAATGTTCGAAGGTAAATCGTGTAATTTCTAAAGAATCACAGGTACTTGATGCACTTTTAAATATTTAAGAGTAAATAATAGAATTTCTGAAGAATTGGAAAGTAAACGGTGCATTTTTTCTTTTCTTATCTTATCCAAACAAAGGGTTACACCATAGTTTGACCAGCCGAGCTAAGGCGGATCTATTTATCTATTTGTCGGTGGGTCTCAATCTTCTACAGATCCGACGGTTTCAAATGGCGTTTTTAATGACTTCCGAAGATGAATTTTAGTTTGGTCTCTCCATCACACAACAGAAAATAGAAACGAAAAATGCGAGTTTTGTTTTTGTGTCTACTCCTTAGTCCTCCCTCGGTCCCCCTCCTAATCCTTTTCACAATGATGTTCATACCGACTTCATTATAGGAAACAAAATTGTTAAAAGTCACTCCCTCCTATGATCGCTTTTTTGGTGTACTTTGGGTGCATATTATTTTTGTTGATCTTCTTATATAAAAAAATTGTAGAAATTTGATAAAAACTGATCTCGTTTTACTAATCACAAGCAAGTGTATATATACAAATACAAACGGGCTTAGAGTTACACGTGGGCCCGATACACTAATTACAGTCCAAAACTACAAATACCCGCTAACACTCCCCCTCAAGTTGGCGCATGAAAATCCTGAATGCTCAACTTGCACAACAAAAAATCAAAACTGGGTTTGGCTAGAGGTTTGGTGAAAATATCTGCCAGCTGATATCACGTGGGAACATATCTCGTTGAGACCTCATGCCGCTGGACACTTTCTCGAACAGTGTGACAATCAACATCTACATGCTTCATTCGCTCATGAAAAACTGGATTAGCTGCAATATATAAAGCTGATTGATTGTCACAATACAGTCTGGGAGGATATAAAATAGGTACGCCTAAAGCCATGAGAATCCCTCTCATCCAACGAATCTCCACACAAGCATTTGCCATAGCCCTGTATTCAGCCTCTGTAGAGGAACGAGCGACAGTGGTTTGTTTCTTCATTTTCCAAGACACGGGTGATGTACCCAACATGATAAAATACCCGCAAACAGAACGTCGAGATAAAGGACAACTGGCCCAATCTGAGTCACAATACGCCGAGATTTGAAGGTTACTGGTGGCGCTGAGAAAGATACCTTGACCAGGGTGACCCTTGATGTAACGAAGAACACGCAAGGCAGCGTTCATGTGATCTAGAGTGGGAGCCTGCATAAACTGAGATAAAACATGGACAGAATAGCAAATATCCGGACGAGTAATAGTGAGATAAATCAGGCGTCCCACTAGACGGCGGTACCGCGCGGGGTCATGAAGGGCAGCGGCGGTCAACCGGTCGAGGCTGTGCGTCGTGGGTAACGGCGTATCGGCTGGTTTACATCCCAAGAGACCAGCCTCCTGCAAGATTTCCAGTGCATACTTGCGCTGGCAGAGGACCATTCCCGAAGCAGAGCGAGCACATTCGATGCCCAAAAAATATTTAACGGGTCCTAAATCCTTCAGCTGAAAACACTTGTCCAAATACAGTTTGAAAGAAGTGCATAAAGAAGGATTATTTCCTGCAACGAGGATGTCATCCACATAAACCAAAACAGTAAGAATATCAGGGCCATGACGCAGAATAAACAGAGTATGATCCTTATGAGCCTGTTTAAAGCCCCACTGACGGAGAGCAGTACTAAGTTTATGAAACCAGTTACGTGGAGACTGACGTAACCCATACAATGATTTCCGTAGGCGGCATACTTTTCCGGGAATGGAAAACCCGGGAGGCATGCGCATATATACTTCCTCAATGAGATCACCATTCAAAAAGGCATTATTGACATCAAGTTGGTGAATCTCCCAACCTCTTGCCACAGCAACTGAAAGTAAAATACGTACCGTACCCATTTTGGCCACAGGTGCAAATGTATCCGTATAATCCGTCCCAAATTCCTGATGATTGCCCAAAACCACAAGACGAGCTTTATCATGCTCCTTCGTACCATCAGAATGAAACTTTGTGCGGTATACCCATTGACATCCAAGGGCCGTCCCATCCGGGGGAAGATCAGTAACCTCCCATGTGTGATTATTCTCTAATGCTGTGATCTCCAGTTGCATTGCATGTCTCCAATTAGCGTGTTGCATGGCTTGTTTGAATGATGTGGGGACTTCGCAAGAAGTCACGGCAGCTAGAAATCCACGGTACCTGTCATGTAATTTCTTATAATGAACAATATTGTGGATAGGATATCGCGTACCTGAAGACTTAGACGGAACAATGCAAGTGTCAGCTGGAGTAGATGTCCGGGTGGTGTGACAAACATAATCGGAAAACTTGGCGGGGGGCCTTCGATCACGGGTTGGACGGACGGGCGACGGCGGACTGTCCGGGCCAGACTCGCCGTCGCTATCGGTGAGGGGTGGGGACTGCCCGGAGTTAGGTACGGCGGCCGGCGAGGGAGACGAATCGACGGCCTGGACGCTGGGAAAATCGGCGTGGGCTGGCGGCAGAGACACCTCGGAGACAGTGGTTGGCGTAGTGGATAATGCAAAAGGAAAGACTGTTTCGTCAAACGAAACGTCACGAGCATGGAAAAATCGGTGAGATTCAAGATCATATACACGCCAACCCTTGGTTCCCGTAGGATATCCCACAAACATGCATTTAAGGCTACGGGGGTGAAATTTATTTGGTGGACGTGGGTTTAGACGCACATAACACAAACACCCAAAAACCCGAAGATGAGACAAGTCTGGAGGTTTTGAAGAAAGTAACTCAAATGGTGATTTTCCCTTCAACAAAGGAGTGGGGGTTCGATTTATTAAATACACAGCGGTGCGGACGCACTCCCCCCAAAACTCAAGAGGCAAAGACGCCTGAAACATTAATGAACGAGCCACATTAAGAATATGCATGTGTTTGCGTTCTACACGCCCGTTTTGTTGTGGGGTGTGAACACAAGAAGTTTGAACGAGAACCCCCATGGTGGTATAAAACTGACGCAAAGGCTTATTCACAAACTCAGTTCCATTGTCTGTACGAACAATTTTAATAACTTTCCCGAATTGGGTTTGAATCATTTGAAAAAATTGCTTCAGACAACTAGTCACTTTTGTTTTGTCAAATATAAGAAAAACCCACACAGCTCGTGAAAAATCATCAACAATAGTAAGAAAGTAATGAGAACCAGTAGACAAACAAGGAGAATAAGGACCCCATAAATCACAATGGATTAAATCAAACAATGCATCAGCTTTATTAGTACTCTGGGAAAAACTAGAACGAGTTTGTTTGGAAAAGAAATAAATGTCACATGACTGAAAATTTTTAATTTCAGCAGTGCTTTTATTGAAAGGAGGTAAAGATAACACTTGGGGTGAAGGATGGCCGAGACGCTGATGCAACAAAGAAACGGACTCAGCTTTAGACGCTTGGGCGTGAGAAGAGAAAACATAAACTCCGTTGCGCACTTCACATCGTCCAATTTGCGTCTTCGAAGTTCGGTCCTGCATCACACAAAAAAGGTCATCAAAGACAACATGACAGTTATTGGAGTTGACAAGACAACTCACAGAAACCAAGTTGCATTTTAAATTCGGTACATAAAGCACATTATTTAAAACCAAAGTTGGAGACAGATGCACACGTCCACACGAGCTCGCCACGACTCGTGCTCCGTCAGGTAAGCTAATTGTGCATGGAGAGACGGATTTGATGTCAGTCAAATAAGATAAAGTGCCTGTCATATGATGAGAAGCCCCACTGTCGAGTAGCCACTCACTCGAAGTAGGATGGGACGTACCTTGCAACTTATCGGAAGAAGAGGTCGATGATTCTAAAATGGAGAAGAGACGGGCAACTTGATCCGGAGATAATGCAGAGAGGGAGGAGGATGTCTCGGCCGCTGCATGGGCTGACGGACCACCTGTGCCACCGTGCTG